AATATCAATTCACTATTAACTATACTGTTACATAATGCAACATATCAAAATTCTTTATAATGGAATCTACGACTCCAAAAGCCTATTAAAATAGTTTCTTTCATAATGAGTAGTGCATAAATAATAATAATCGTTTTTAGCCTATTGAGTAAAAAATATTTACTCAAACAATTTTGCAGTGAAAAGATTGATAACTGTTAAATTTTACTCCACTACCTCAGTTCTCTAATTAGATTTATTATTCTTATTATTTTTATATTCGTTCTAATTAGATTTATTATTATTATTATCATAATCATTATTGATAATGTTATTATTATTACTGTTATTATCGTTAATGTTATATTGTATACCAACGTCATTCCATAATCTTCATATCGAATATTACAAAACCTTCTGCAAGTCACGATTTCACATTTGACCTTATCCTCAAACTCTATCTCAACCTCGACCTCTGTCCTTGCCGCATCATATCCGTATCTTTGCCTTGCCATACCTTCAAAACCCTCAACTTACCATACTAATCCTTCCAATTCCTGTACCATCACCACTCGAGTTATAATTTATGTACAGGGCGAGTCTCGTAACATAAAATCATTTAGCCGTTTTGAAAGAGTTCTACAGTACTGAATTGAAACCAGATTAAAGTAATAAATATTCTGCCAATAGCACGTGATTGCAGAAATGCATTGATTTCTTGCATCATTAAATTGGTGTACTTTGCAAAATCTACATTGCGTCATTAATATTTCGTAATACACTACTTACTTAGAACTTACACTATGATTTTTTTAGTTTTGTCTTATGTGCGACTCAAACACATACTTCTTATACCCTAACGAAGCCTGCATCCAACAGCGTTACACATTTTATTTAAAACTAAACGAACTCGGTCACAGTCACAGTCCTCTACGTCATCTGGTTCTATAATACTATTAAGCTTTTCCTGCTGTAAACTGTGTCCAATTACATAGATTATCTCAACGTTTATCTGGTTAAGCTAGTTGTAACGCTGAATTCTTATAACTAAAATACAGTAGTGTCCATAATTATAAATTCAAAGTAACTTTCGCATTGTTAATGATGTCTAAACGAAAACTTAACAAAATATTATATTTGTATATTTTCTATTATTTCTGATATAGAAATATATGAATATGATATTTTGTTAAGTTTTTTTTTAAATATACAAAAGATGATTCAGTTAAAATGATCACCTACAATGCTGTAAATAATTATAAACTCAAAGTAATTTTTACATTTTTATTGATATTTAAACGAAAACCAAAAAAGAATGATATTTGTATATTTCAATTTTCTATTATTTCTAATACCAAAATATGCAAACATGTTATTTCGTTAAATTTTTTCTAATATACAGGGTGTCTCAGTTTAAGGGCGCCGCAATGCTGTTATTATAAATTATATATTATATAATATTATATATATTATATTAATTATATTATATATTATATAATAATATTATTATTATAAATTATAAACGCAAAGTAACTTCAACATTTTTACTGATATTTAAATAAAAACAAAAAAATAACATTGTTTGTATATTTCCATTTTCTATTATTTCGAATCTAGAAATATACAAATACGGCGTTTTGTTAAGTTTTCGTTGAAATATCACTGAAAATGTAGAAATTACTTCTCGTCTATAATTATTCACACACCGCTATATTTTTGTAGAACGTTGTGATGCCTAATTCACAGATAGGATCAATTTTGTTTACACAAACTCTGTCATCATCCTAATATGCATTACATGTTTCCAAAGATCTAATCCTCAAGCAGCCAGCAATTGACAATCAACATTATGTCTTATGGGTGTACCACCCCAGCCCGTTGCCGGACGAACGGCGTTGGCACCGCATCAGCGTCGTGTTCGCAGCTAAAGGGCAAATGCCGGCGGCGGAGGAAAGTATTTCTATCGCAGGTGCGTACGTCCGGTAGAAGAGATGGTATGAATTTTCCGCTGTCAAACATTATCGATACTTTTTCTTACTATCGATAATTTCCGATCAGAGTAGCCGATACATTGAAGGGTACAGAAAATTCTCCCTAATTGACCCTCAGCTGGAACACAAAAATGGACAATTTGGGAGGAGGAGATACGATTATTCGAGCCTCCACTTCTCAAATTGTTCATTTTTGTGCACAAGCTCAACGTTAATTAGGGAGAAATAACAGTAATCTGAACGAACTTTTAGATATTTCCACCCCACTTTGATGACGTATTTATTTAAATATTTCTATCATTTACAGGTGAATGAAAATGCCTTGAACTCTTTGCAAACTCATTGGCATTTTCAAATTTTTGTGTCTCTAAAACTTTATATTATAGGGAGACCGGGTCATAGCGAGCCCTCAGGACAAATAAAACTTCGTCGAACATTTATTTATACAATTGAAATTTCTGTGACAGAAAGTTACATACTAAATTGATTTATTCGGTACAACGACAATTACATCCCGTTAAATTGTAATGATAATTTTATTTAGTAAACAGATTTAGTTTTCATGATTTCTATAAATATTAATATTTTTATCAACAGTAATGTAAAATGACTGACAAATGATTCAATTAATCGATCAATGTTAAACACGTTATTCGGCTGAAATTGTGCGGGGCAAACCGATCAAACGAAAAATGCGTGACCGAAGTATGCAACGACATAACCTAAAATTAACCTAGAAATTTTACATTTCTAAATCAAAGTTTGTTAACCATCAAAACTATAATTAACACTAGATTTACGGAATCCGTCAAACAGACGGGTCACTAATTTTTCAATTTACGATTATTCAATCAGAATAAATGTCTTATTGTTACTTTTATAAACTAATATAAAACAGCTGTTTTTTGTGCTGCGTAAATCTAGTATTAAGTGTAACTACCAAAAGGTGTTTCAAAGCGCTGTTCTTATTTACAAACTGACGAACATGTTTTTTATATTCTATTAATTTTATATTCTATTTTTATACCAGGCTCTCATTACTCCATATAGAGACCTCTTTATCCCATATGTGGGGCAAACGGAGCTAATTACTTCGTTTGTTTATATGCAATTTTAAGAGTACTTTAACCTTTTAGATACGGCTGAATTCTGCGCGAGGCTATTTCTCTGGACGGCAGAGTCTGATGTGTACTGTACAGAGTCTGATACTCTATATACAGGGTGTCCCAAAAATGTCTCGCAATCTGAAAGTGGCGGGTTCTTCAGGCCATTTGAAGCAACTTTTTCCTTTACAAAAATTTTCTCCGAGGCATCGTTAACGAGTTATTAACGAAAAACCGTGACCAATGGAGAGGCGAGTTCAGCTGGCGCGAGGCGATCGCGCCAATGAGCGGAACTGGGCTTTGCGCACTGGTTGGCTGGGCCGCCTCGCGTCGGCCGTACTCGATTCTTATTGGTCACTGTTTTTCGTTGATAACTTGTAAACGGTGCATCGGAGAACATTTTTGTAAAGGAAGAAGTTGCTTCAAATGATCCGAGGAACCCGACATTTCCGGATTTCGAGACATTTTTGCGACACCCTGTAGACTGTTGTAAATCGAAGCGAAGACAAAAGAAGTGTGAAACAATGCGTATGAAGACGATTATTTGGTTCAAACGATGAGCGAGTGAGCTGCTAGAGCAAGCCACTATAGTGGCGCGTCGTCCAGAGAGATGACATCCGCGAAAGCCACTATAGTGGCGCGTCGTGCCTAAAAGGTTAACGTTATTTTCATACATGATGCTTTGTACACAGCACATATACCTACAGCGAAGATATCCAACCACAATTTAAATTTATTTCAGTATTTTTCTAGCAAAGGAAAACCATCGATGGTACTACGAGGCGTTAAGCTCGGCGGGTCGCGGTTGAGAACCGCTGTCGACGTTCGTACGCTCGATGATGCAGTAGTAGGAGAGGTCTCGCTAGCAGCGGCCTGGTCATATCGCGATGCTCGCCGGCGCGGCTCGGCTTGTACATACCGTGGTGAGCGTGTGCTGCCCTGGTAGCTTGGTATCACCTGGGCGATACTGGTATTCGATTCTGCGGAGGCCCTCCGCACCCGTCGGCTTTTTCATCCGGCCGCGGCGCGCGCGTTGCGCAGAATCCGCGCCTGGCTTCGCTTTTCCGTGCTTATTGGAACGCGAAGCCCCCGCGGCTTGTATCGAGTGGATATCGCGCGCGGGGACTACCCGAAGAGTTTCGGCGGCTTTATTTGCCCGGTTTGATTGGTTCATTCGTTTCACACGTTCCTGTTTCTTCATCGCGCGGGGGAGATCCCTCCCCCCGCGCGTA